TAATATTTCAAAGTGTACTGTGAGCTGTTTGGTTCAGAAAATGGTTCACACATCGATTTTGTTCTGTTTGTGCTTGTGGCATCTGGTTGGTAAGTTAAGTGTGCTCATTTATTGACAATTTTAGCCTAATTAAGCTAATATTTAGGTTTTTTTTTGTATAATGTGTGCTATTACTAATTTAAAAAAAAAGCTTCACAATTTACAACGAAACCACTGTGATATTACCGTCAGATCTTTGAGTTTGGAATTGTGATCATTAAAGAAGGATTGCTATTCAACACTTTAGATCCATCAATTAATTATTTCTACTTGATGAAATGTTCTCTTAACTAACATTATTATCTAAGACAGGGGTTTTCAAACTGGGGTCAGTGACGCAAAGCCACAGGGGGTCCGCAAAATAATTTGCCATACCGTATTTTCCGGACCGCAACTTTATCTTCTGAAACGTGCTATATGATTTATATTCCAAAGTGACTTATATAATGCATTAAATGTCAAATAAGCAAATCGTAAACACTTAAAAGCGGGCACTTCAAGATTTATGTCTAAATATATTTATCATATCTGTTTGACAAGTAGACAGTATCGCAGAGTTTTTCTTCATTTTAGGAAGTGGTTCACATAGACCAAGACGGCAAGCGCATTTTGTTTGTTTTCTTTATTTTGTCATTTTCTTTATTTTGTCATTTTGAAGGTACACAAATAAAAATAGACCGTTTTGAATGATGTCTTATCTGACGGATATCACATTTCTCTGCTGATATAAGGAATCCAAAGTGTTCGCGTTGGCGCCTCCCGCGCGCACATAACATATCAGTTCTAGCATTGCAACTTGACATCACAGCCTCATCATCACCAAACTAAATGAGACAACTAAACCTACAAAAGGTATTTGGTAACTCAATTTAACTTGTCTGTTGTACATAGGTTTTGCCGTTCAGCGTGAGCATGCCGTGGTGTTTTTCCAAACACTTTTTTTGGAAAATGTGAATATGTTTTTGCATATGTGAAGGATCCTGTTAGTAGATATTCGGACATGAGAGAAGTACAAAGCCTTCTTTACATAATAAGTAGCCTAATAGTTTAGCAACCAAATGTTAGACTGCGTAATGTAAAATGAGAGGTTTGCGAGCCCATGTGGTTAGTTTCAGTTTTTAGTAAGCAAGTTTAGTTTGTTATGGACATAGTCATAGGCGCCGATTTATGTTTTTGCCGGTGGGTGCAAAAAAACGACCATTTGATTTTTTTTATAAAACACATTTTCACCGTTGTTTACACAAGTAAATGATAACCGGGCTAAGTTATCATACACGCCACAAATGCTTAAACATTCTCATTACTCAGTAATTCATTATACTGGGTGTTAGTTTTTTCTAGAGTAGGCTATACTCCGTTCGATGATGCGTTTGATTAATTCACTAAACAAAATTTATCTTGCGAAGTGAAATGCATGGAATTAGCCTACCAACCAAATAATACACACATTCTTTCTATGAGGATTGCGCTTTACTAAACAAAATAATTTAATTAATACCCGTTTACAAAAAGCACTTATTCGCACGTACACAGGACAAAGTTTGAGTTACACGTAATATCTGATGGAGCGCAGAGTCATGATCACTATATAATGGAGAGCAAGCCTGCTGTTAGCCAAGAAATTGGTGCTGGCGCCCTCTCGTATTACAATAATGCACTCTCGACATTTGCCATTAAATTAACGCCAAAAACTGCCTCAAATGAACTATAAATACGAGAATAAAGTTGTAAAAGCTGCAATCCATTTCTTATTCGTTAAAATGAACGAAGACTATTTTGTGTTTTTCACGAGCACCCACGGGATCGGCGCCCATCACCGAAAAAAATAACTTGTAAGATTTACTTAAAAAAAAATTATCGTAACAAATTGCACGAACACATTTTAAGTAAATTTTACTGCTCTAATATCAAGTACAACTTACATGCTATTATTAAGTAAAATCTAATTGCACCCTAATTAAGTAAATATTACTTAATTATATTTAATTCAAAAGTTGTGTTTATTTAAAGTAATTAAGTAAAGTTTATTTATTATTTGATAGACGGGAACCTTGCATTTATCAAAATATTAAGTAAATCCTACTATTTACTGAAGTAAATAAGTAGATTTTATTATATATGTTTTGTTTGAGATGTCCCATTTACTTAGTTTTATGAATATATATTACTACCTATGATTATGTAAACATTGCTAATTTCTTTTTGATTAATAATCACATAAACTGTATTCATTTAGTCTATACTAGGGGTTCTCAACTCTGGCCCTCAAGGTCCACTTTCCTGCAGAGTTTAGCTCTAACCCTAATCAAACACACCTGAACAAGCTCATCAAGGTCTTCAAGATTACTAGAAAGTTACAGATTGCTAAACTCTGCAGGGACATGGACCTCAAGCGCCAGAGTTGAGAACCTCTGGTCTATACCTTTATCACAAATCACACAGCTAAAATACAATTCAACTCTTTATTTTTCCAACATTAATAAAAGTGAATCAGTCACATTCACATGACCTACTAAAGTCTGGACACAAGTACAGTTTTGACCCCAGGAGGTATCAAATATAGAAAAAAAAATACTTAAACAGAACAAGATGAGGTTTTAACCTGACAGAGTTAGGTAGTATTGATATAACCAAAACTGTATCTAACATGAAAACCATCAGTCTGTCTTCCTCCCCACACCTCAAGTTTCCACTGTATTGGCTCGTCGTAAGAATTAGGTCACCCTGTAAATAAACAGACACAATTTGTGATATTAAAACAATGATCTAAAATATTTAACCACAATTTTATATTATGCAGTGAAGAATAGGTAAACATAACAATAATGTTATATCATGCAAGTCTATGCATAGATTTATACTTGCCTGAATATGAGAATTAGACCAATCACTCCTTCTGTATGCTCATCAACTCACACTCCGGCTTATTCTGCAGTGAATCCAAAGCCTTCCTGTTAATAGAAACATGTGTTCATAAGACTTTGCTTTTTAACCAACAAATTACACATTGTTTGAGCAAAAGAAAAGTTTTAACTGACAAGACTGGACTGGAATTAATTATAATTAAGTTGAATACCATCATAAATAAACGTAAAAACACTTTTACTAACACTTTCTACTCACACTTTTCAAAATGAGTCCTATAAAACATAATCGCTGGTGGCAACAGGTGCTTTAGGGTTAGGTAGTATGTTAGCTTAGCATAGCGACAAAACACGACAATTAATGAGATTACTACAATGTTATTGCTCTAAACTCTCTCTATTACGTCAGTCGTGTTTGAAAGAACAGAAACTAGCCTTATGCTAAACTATGCGATTGTTTTAATTTAGTAATGATGTTAGCTAGCTAGCAATAATTTTCAATTGTGCTCAAGTTTTTACGTGAAAAACATCTTTGTGAATCTCTTAACTATTGAAAAAATTTTCGCTGAAATATCACTCACTGTGACCACAAGCAAGTTAACTTTAATGAGGTTATGTGATTTATGAACGTCAATGTATAATGAGTCAAGCAAACAAGAATCAAACTATCGAAATGCACACGGACCAAAATATTACAAATCAGAAATCCAAAACAGAAAGGCAAACTTACCTTAAAGGTCCCCTGAAATGCTTAGAAACTCGCAGCGTCTCTATGTGTTGACGTCATTTTAACTGAAAGTCTGAAACAGGTAGACAGGGCGGGACATATCAAGCAGCCCCGCCCCTTTTTAAAATAGCCAATAGCGTTCGTTTATATCACAGCTTGGGCTAGATCCGTTCAGAGCCGTTGAGCTCCGTAAAGCCGCATTTGACAGGGTATGCCAGCCACAATCTCATCCATATTGCTATAAAATTCTATGGACAAGTGACCGATTTCAGCCGCGGCTTCAGCGTCTATTTTATAGTGTAGGGGGCGGGCGCTTCGGATTCTAGAGAGCATTTGATTGGACAGAAAGTTTGACGAGAAGCTGAAGTACGATGTGACGTCTAAAAAATCATTGAGCCGTTTTGCTGGCGCCCTCTTGTATTACAATAATGCACTCTCGACATTTGCCATTAAATTAACGCCAAAAACGGCTTCAAATGAACTATAAATATGAGAATAAAGTTGTAAAAGCTGCAATCCATTTCTTATTCGTTAAAATGAACGAAGACTATCTTGTTCACGAGAACGGCGCCTAAATGTTTGTAATGATCGGCACTATAATTAATTTTTTTATATACATATATATTCATTTATTTTTGTTCTGTTATGAATGCCACAACATTTAAATGAATTTTACCTTCCCTCACTCCAAATCCTGTTAGTGTTTATAATGTTTTTTTCCCCTAACATTCATTTTATTTAGACCTATTCAGTGTTTAAATTATTTCTGAAAGTAATAGTAAAATGTGACTTACACACCAATGCAAGTTTTGTTTTGTTTTTCTTCCCCCCTGACCTGGTGCAACTTTCTGGAAAATATGGTAAATTTAATTATATTATGCTGTAGTATTAAAAAGTACATATACAATAGGGACCATTGGCACCAATAAAACAATCATATTATGTTCATTCCTCCTACCCACATTAAACTTTAGCCTTAAACACTGTTATAATAATGAAGAGGTTCTTGGAAAATCCTCTCCCCTGTAAGGGGTCCCTGGCTCCAAAAAGTTTGAAAACCCCTGATCTAAGATACCCAGCAGGCTTTGTTTCAGCCGATTGTACAATTCTGTTTCAATGGCATCATTTCAATAGGGCACAAGTAAATGTCTTTGTCTAGTCAATTTCTATAGTATTTTTTTCCAGTAATTCTTATGTTATGGTGCTGTTATGTGATGTATGTCTTTCTATAATCTTAAAAAAAAAAAAAAAAATTTCAAGTCAAAATACTACGAAGCTGTACATTACATTTCCGTTTTAAATGTTTAAAAAACTAAAACGTTTGGTTAAACAACATTAAACTAATTGTTGCTAACTGTTTTGTTCTCCAGGTGTGTTTGGTGTTGGGACCAATGAAGTGAAGTCTGTTTCAGTGAAGAAGGGAGATTCTATAATTCTACACAGTGATGTTAATGGTATACACAAATATGATGAGATCGAGTGGCGTTTTGTACAACTACGTATAGCTAGAATAAAGAAAGCAGTCGGGAATGATCCTCAATATGATAATGACGAAACATTCAGAGACAGACTGAAGCTGGATCAGACTGGATCTCTGACCATCACAAACACCAGAACCACAGACTCTGGACTTTATAAATTAACTATCACTATTAAGAATCAGGAGACTATCAAGAAATTTTATGTTACTGTTTATGGTAAGTAGAGAATTAATGTAATCTGTCCCTTTCATATTCATATTGTAAATAATACTAAATCATCTTTATAGCCTGCTGTAGTTGATGTTTTTATGTTTGAAATGAGAATAGGCAATAGATCAGTTTTCAATGCACTTTTTGTATTAATGTTTGTTTGTATTAATAAACATATTAATGTTCATTATTATTTCATGTAAGTTTATAATAGGGCTGCAGAATTCATCAAACTTATATGACCTGTCTAATTTGTCTAATCAATCCATTCAGTGGCACCCACAACCAACCCCCAGGTCCTGGGCCCAAAAACTGCTTCACATCCTCCAGGTTCAGTATCTCTAATAGTGCTGATATCCACTGCTGCTGAAATTCAGTTCTGTATGATTATTTCACTTCATCTTTATTTCTGTTTATTTTTTCATGTTTTCCAGCTCGTCTTCCAGTTCCTGTTATCTCCAGAAACTCTTCACATTGTTCATCATCATATTGTTCATTGGTGTGTTCAGCTGTGAATGTGGGTCATGTGACTCTCTCCTGGTACAAAGGAAACAGTTTATTGTCCAGCATCAGTGTGTCTGATCTCAGCATCAGTCTCTCTCTACCTCTGGAGGTGGAATATCAGGATAAAAACACCTACAGCTGTGTGCTCAACAATCCCATCAGCAACCAGACCACACATCTCAACATCAGCAAACTCTGTCACACATGTGCAGGTATGTCACTTGCGTTTTTGTACACCATTACACATACATATGTAAATACACACACTATGACTGTTTCTTTTTATCATTACAGTTTCAGACCTACATTACGTTTATATAGTGCTAATGCCTCAAAGTTGTTGTTATTGATCTTACATGTTGTCCATTACAGAACCATTTATACCCTTATTGAACATACTCTTACTGATCTCTGCTGCTGCTGCTGGATCTCTGTTGACTGTAGCTGCAATCTGGATCTTCTGGATCTGCCAGAAACAAAAAGAAACACATCAACAGGGTAAGTGTTTCCCATAAACCTATTGATATCAGTACAAAATGTAAGAGTTTTGCTGTTTTAACATTTCTGCCATTATTATTGAAACAGTTCAGACCCATGATGATGTAACTTATGCTGATCCAACGTTCTTCAAAAGAAATGCACATAAAGTGGTAAGATCATTCTTGTTAGAGGTACACTGTACAAACATTGTATGATTAAGCAGGAGGTTATATAATAGTTTTATATAATCATTTTTATTTGGTTGCAACTCAGTGTAAATAAAAAGCTGGAGAGGGAAATGAAAAGAAAACCCGATGCTCAGTTCTGAACACTAGTGAGCTGTTTCACTGTCTACACAGTGACATTCGAACAGAAATGGACTGATTTGATCGAACTCATGCTGTTATACAAATAGTGCTCATGATGTGAAGCACTCAACTGCCTTATCGAAAGAAAAATGTTCTTTTAGCATTTGGCCCAAACAAGGCATCTAATAAAAGCTTAGTTGCCTATACCGTAAGAACACCCTTCATGTCAGGAGTGCTGCAGTGATGCTTTAAAGTACTGTTGGGCCAGATCACTAAGCTTTGAAAAGAACTACTGTATCTGAACTGCAGCAAACCCCACAGCCTTTAATGTGGACAAAAACACATCTAAACTCTGAACTTATGTAAAGATCCAACACAATATAATAGTGAAAAATAATATTTATTGTATCATGACATCCCCTACAGACTTACAGTATTCTGGAAGATTGCTTAAAGGTTTTTTACTATCAATTCACTATTCACAAATAAACATAACTACTACTACTTTGACTCTTACAAGCAATAGTAATGCAGAAAAATAATCTTAACAGTTGTTAGATGTCCAAAATGCCAGAGAGAAAAATTAGGTTAGATTTTCACTCAAAAATAACTGTAAACAGTTCATGTGTTGGGGCTCATAGAGTGTTTCTGCTAAAACGAACACTGTTAAACTACCTGCTAAATGCTTGTGTTTCCTGTACTAAAAGTTGAAGAGAGATCTGCTAATCTGAATGTGAGAAAATGAGGAAGAAACACTTCAGTCATTATTAGAAAATCTGCCTTTAAATATTAAATCACTTTTATCTCATTTAAATAAAAAAAATAAAAAATAACATTATAACATTGCCTGTCCCCATAAATGTACTTTTGTAATTATTATGTAATTATTCATTAATTTTCATTTGTCATAGTAATTGTTATAGCTTGCCATCTTAAAACTATGCCTTAGGAGAGTGTTCCCAGATCCACCACTGATGTGCTACCTAAGATTTTAACACATTTCATGTTAAGGCAGTGCATTAAGACAGCTTCTCTTGTATATCGCGACATGAGCTACTCATGTTTTAACTTGAAATGTGACAGTTTTAACTGCTGGTAGCACATCTTCATCAGTTTTCTCAACTTCTCAATAGCAGCTATTCACCAGTAGCTGCTGGTGATAGCTATAGTGGCTAACTGCTAATGGACTAAGTTGTTGAAAGACGTTGTTGTATTATTATTGTAATTTAAGTCTCACAAAATTTTTTTTTAAAGTAATTTTAAAAACAGATTTCCTGGTTTAATGACCACATGGATGGTCTTTCTTACAGTCTATTTACAGTCCGTCTTACATCTACTTTGAGTGGCACATGGGAGAGGGGGTGCTTCTTAAAATTGAGTCAAAGGTTGATTAGTTTTCCCCATGAGTGAACTGTTCTATAGCATTTTTTTTATTATATTGACAAATAGATAAAGAAAAGGCAAAAGGTGTTTACACTAAGTGCAAGCAGAAATAGAATTCCTTTGCACTGTGTAAATGTGTTATAAATGATATTTATACTGTATTGTGGCATATACTGTTTGCCAGCAGTATTTCATATAATTACATATTTAGCGTGATGTGTTTTGAAATCATAAATGGATACTAACTTATTGGAATGCTACTTGTACTTATCCCTAAAGCCCACCACTAATCTTATTGAACCTGTCAATCAGTAAAAATGTCCTTTAAATGCAATTTAAAATGTGCTTTAATAAAAAAAAAAAATCATAATTAACTTTTTTTTTTAGTTATGCAGAAATGTTTTGAAGTAACCGTTTTAATTGTCTATTTATTATTTATTGTTTTATAATTTTATTTAACTACATTTTAAAACTTGAAATACATAGATTGTTTAAAATTAAAAAGTTATTTGTTTATTTATTTACCTGCAATTTTATGTTTTAATTATTAAATTGTTAAATAGTGTCACTTCCAGTTTTCCATTTAAAAAAATGGTTGGTTGGTTTATTGCAAAAGTAATATTCAGAATGTGGGAATGTAATATTCTGCCTTTTGAAATGTTAACAGGTTCATGCTGTTGACAGACAATGTAGTTACAATTAAACAGGCACCACTGACGTTAAGCAACTGTACAGACAGGCACATTTACTGTATATGGCAGTGATAGACTATATACTAATAAAAACTGCTGTCTTAAATGAGAAGTTCCACTGGGCATTCTGTGGCATTCAGACAAATGTGTTATATGCAACAAACTAAAATAGCACAAGTGTGCACAGTGTGAAGCCATTTGAAAATAAAATGTTATTTATTGGCAACCGGCACAAATATAGTGTACTTTCTACAAAATAAGGGTTCATACTCTACTGTTAAAAACGTTATAGCTCAAGGTGTTTCTGCATAAAACACTGTGAAAACAGAACTGTCTGTGAAAGAAATGGTCTGTGAGAGAAAAAGAGTGTGTATAAGAGTGTGAATATTCCAGCCTTCATTAGAAATATTACTTTAGAGTCAAATTTTCAATATAACATTAATATGTTATATTAACTAAAAATGACTGCTGTCAAAACAGTGATATGAGAGAAACATAAAATTTTGACTGTGCATAACAAGGCCTTTTTTTTTTCTTTTTTACTGAGGTCTGAGGTGTAATTCCAGCATATCTTTGTGTTCTATTTGAAATAGATACTTGATGTTAGTTCTTTAAGCTCTTCCATATTAGTTATTCATTTGAGCTACACCCTGCTGAAAAGAAAAATAATAATAATGATGATATTTTTCTGATGGGCAGCTGATTCATGTGTGTTTCATGTTAAGATGATGTTCAGCTCTTGACCAGCTAACCACTTTAGGCTGATTTAAGATTTTTTTTCATCAGGGTAACCAAAGATATACATTTTTAATATGTGAAAATTTGAAGTATATTTAGTTTAATTACTTCAGGAGAATTTACAGCCTGGCTGTCTCTCTTGAACATGCATGCATGTGTGAAAAATATGTTTTCAAGTGTGTTTTTGTTGTGGTATGAGAGGATTTCTTTGGTTTTCTTTAATGTTAAAGACGGTTCTTTAAAAAAAATCTAAACATTTTGCTATTATACTAAAGCATTTTGTGTCTTTTGTATTTGTATTTCTTTCAGAAAGAGGAGGATGAGGTGGTGTACGCACGTGTCGTCACAAAACGTTAAATATTTTTTGTGATACATTTCTTTTTGAATGATATTCTGGTCATGGTAACTATGCCTTTATGCTTTTATTTGTGTTGTGCGGTTTTTGACGAGGTTCACTAAAGGTAAAAAGGTCAAACGTCATAAGCATAAATCATAAAACATCTTTTCCAAAAAGATCATGTCTAGAACTGCTCCTTTATTTTGAGAGTAAAGGTCAAAACCTCTATGTGGAAATCAGTAGCTTTAAACTACTAAAAGCTTTTGACCTTCACCATTAGCCTTGATGCAATATAAAAAAAATTTTTTTTTAAATTCATTACTATAAGCTAATACCAATTTGCCTGTACACATAAACTACATGTCCTCATTTTAAAAACCTTTCAAACAGTCCTTCTGCCTTTAATTTTTTTTTTTTACAGTAGCCTACTGTAAGATCTTGTAGGGTAGGCTATATCATAGATTGTTCCTGCTGGATAAAAATGGTGCCGTTTTTCTCTTAAAGCAGATCGCTGAGTAACACCCACTGATCTACAGTATATATCTCTATTATAGATCAGTGGTAACACTCTGTATGCCAGTTTCCTTAAAATATATACAATATACTGTTAAATGTAATTAAGAAACGTCTGCTAAATGCCAATACATGTAAAATTACTATATGAAAAGAACTTATTTTCTAATATAAAGGTGTTTTTGTGTGTGTGTGTGTGTGTGGCCCTTTCCTTGAACATTTCCATATGCATCTGCATACCTGTAGGTCAGTTATAGTCTATGTTTTATTGGATTTTGATCCCCTTTATATGTATCTTATATTTTCTATAATTGTATTGCATTTTGTATTGTTTGTTCCTTTTATAATAAAAAAAAAAACCCTTTTTTATATTTAATGATTATGTCTTTCTTTTGCGATTTGAACAACCAGTCAGTACTGACACAGTGAGCTGTATATGATTCATTAGAAAGAACCGACTCATGAATTCATTCGTTCTGGAGTCGGACTACAATGGTTGCGCTGTATGTTTTGATTCACTAAAACGAACCGACTCATTAAAATCACTGACTCGAGATTCGGACTTTACCGATGACGCTATTTGTTTCACACTATAGATTCAGACCGTTGCGGCGGAATGAATAAGTAAATAAATAAACATTTTCTTAAGTAGGCTATTGTTGTGTTTCATTGCAGCTTGTAATTAGTAGCCTGCCTAATGCACAGATGGCGTTTCTCAATCAGTGCACTTCTCCAGAGAGTCGGCCATTTAAAACTGCTTTAGTGCACTAGGCTATAAAAATTCCCCTAATGCCATCCAAAACCAGTAAGCATCGGTCACTTACCGAATGTGTCGTATTCTTCCGTCTCAAGTCAGCCATGTAAGAGATGGCCGAAACAGCACAAAACAGTCAAGTGCCGCCATCACGTGGTTAAAGGATGTAACCTGTTTGCTCTATTACTGCCATTTCTCAATATACTCCCTTATTAGCTCTCAGTTACTGCCTATGGTAATATAGACCTACTGCAGTTTTTGAACTATGACAACATGTAGGCCTATTGGAAGCTTTTTTATTATTATTATTTAGTGATTTTAAAAATAAAGTATTCAAAATGTACATATTTTTATAATAATTTTGACTATTAGAATGATCATCTGAAGGCTTTCCAACCCTCCTCACTGTTTTAAATAATGAGGTGTGGGTGCTGTTATTGATTAATGTTTTTATGCCTCAGACCACCGGGGTCTGTTTTGTCCTGTGTTCTGATTGGTCCTCTCTGCTCTGGTGAAGGTTTAGCCCTTATATATGTTGGGCCTGTCCCAAAAAAATGCCAAATTGCAATGACCTTAACCTCTCCAGAGTGGTATTCAAGGCTAAGTGTATCCCATCATGCATCATGTTCTGGAAATAAATCAAGACTTTTGGCCGAGATCTCACGAGAGTTATATAATAATAATAATTATATATTACTTATAATTTGGTAGCAAAACAAGTGTTGCACTTTTATTGGTGCAAAGATGAGTATGTTTATTTTGTAACTGCTTTTTATCACTTCATTAGAAGCACAACAAGTGTGTCATCTGTACTGAACAGACAGAAGGTTTTTTTAAATGCAAAGTATTGAAAATCAAAATAAAGCTCTGTAAACACTTGCATTTTTACAACATTACAATGTGTCCCATCAGGTAATTAAAAGACCACACACACTTGTGTTCTTCAACCCCTCTTGAACACTTGGGCCAAATACAGGAAATACGTCATGTAAGTAGACAAGTGGTCAAGTGCAAGGACCACAAGTGAGGGTATTTGGACAAGCCCGTTGATGTCAACATCAGTGAGTCACAAAATAATAAAATAAAAAATTATCAAGTTTTCTTGTAAAATGTCACGCCAAAATGTTCAAATTAAGTAGGTTACTAACAGGGAATAAATACACAATCTGAACATTAAAATCTCTCTCTGAATTCACATTTACATGTGTGCAGAACATCAAGGGTCAATTTGCTGATACTGTCTACAGGATGTGGTGTACTGGATCTCAACAAAAAACATAAAGTGCAGTCAGTATGATATGAGAAGAAGTGAAATAACAATACAAACCCAGAAACAAAGAATGTATAATAATAATGTATATGTGGTCAAGCCAGTTCTTCGGTGTTCTCCATTCAGCTTCTTTTGTAAAGTTTGGAAACGAAGGAGAGGTTTTTGTTAATGCCACAGTGAACAGAAGATACTGAAGATAAACCACAAGAACCAAGACGATCTGAAGACATTGTTAGATCAGAAAAAAATATATATCATTCAGTGACTACCCTTATCTTAATGATTTACTCAGATCATTGAATTTTTAAGTTAAAAAGTGAAAAATGAGAAGCAAAATGAAGAACTGAAAAAGACCATACCACCAAAAAATAGCCTGTTACGTTTTTTTCTGAATGTCTGAGCTTGTAGGTTTAGTATGGAAGAAAGGCTTCTTTACCTGCTAACATGATTGACTTCTTCTCAAAACCACTTTAATGTGAAATAAAAGACAGTAAACAAACACATACAAAAATCTCATGCAAGAAGCATCTTGTTTCCACTATATGCTTTTGAGACTCTAGCAGCTGCGTTTCTGAGTCAGACTGAAACCTGCTGCGGTCTGAGTTTAACTCAGGCCAGTTTAGAGACATATGACCCAAATGAATGTGGCTACTGTTGAGTGGACAAACGTCTCTTGCAGCTAACAATGTGTTTACTATTGCATGTGTGTGGTTGAATGATGGGTAAATGGGCAAAGACATTATTTTTCTTTGAGACAATGACTGATTGAAACAAACAACTGCTGCAACATTCTGGACAGAAACAATAGCCTAACAGAGTAGGCTACCACAAAAATGAAGCCTAAAAAAGTAAGACCGTTAGGTAAAGACAATATGACATAATTATATTGAGAGACACAGAATGATTTAGCACAATATGTTAAGTAATAGCATTAACCAGGATGTGAAACTGAACTACAGTAGAAAGCATCGCCTGCATGTTGACGGAAGCTTGCTGTCTGGAGGTCTTTCTGTGTTTATCTCTAAACCTTATTTACAGATCGTATTAATGATATATTCCTGTCGAAAACGGATGCATACTAAGCGATTTATCTCAAACGGCTAAAGAAAATGACCCACGCGTTTATTTTGTTTTGTTTGTGTTTTTCTCATCTGGTTGGTAAGTAAGTGTATTTTAATGACGTCACTGAAATCAAAGCGTAATAACGATTAAGTCAAATGATTTACAATATTGCTAACGCTACAATAAGGAATTAGGTATCATAAACGTAAAAAGTTGTATAAATTAGCATTTATATATATATATATATAAACGTGATTTAGCCATGAAATATTGCATATTTAGTCTAACATTAACCTAGATGTAAATTGTTGTTCATTGGTTCATGACACGGCAACAAACTGAGCGTTATTGTGAAGTGTTACAACATTTTTTACATGTTCTCCAGGTGTGTTTGTTGCGGAGACAGATGTAGTGAAGTCAGTATCAGTGATGGAGGGAGATTCTGTCACTCTAAAGACTGATGTTACTGATAAACAGGGATATTACAAGATAGAGTGGAGGTTTGGAGAGGAGCGAATCGCCAGAATCAAGGGAGTGAACGGTACATATTATGATGAGGTTTGGAGATTCAGAGGCCGACTGCAGCTGGATCACACCGGCTCTCTCACCATTAGAAACACCACAACTGAACACACTGGAGTTTATCGTCTAAGTATGAAGGTTGGAAATGAAGATATACCCAAGAGTTACAGAGTTACTGTGTATGGTGAGTGGATTATTATGTAACCTATTACATGGAGAATAGGCTATTCATTGTCAAAATGATGATTCAGGATGCACCTTTATAAAGCATGTTGTGTTTTCCAGCTCCTCTGCCCATTCCAGTAATCTTCATTGACACTTTACAATCTTCTTCATCATCTGAAAGATCATCAAGGATCTTCCTGTGTTCAGTGGTGAATGTGAGACATGTGACTCTCTCCTGGTACAAAGGAAACAGTTTATTGTCCAGCATCAGTGTGTCTGATCTCAGCATCAGTCTCTCTCTACCTCTGGAGGTGGAATATCAGGATAACAACACCTACAGCTGTGTGCTCAACAATCCCATCAGCAACCAGACTCAACATCTCACCAACACTGAACTCTACTGGTTAGGTTCAGGTACGTGATTTTAAATTTTTTTCAGCATAGCTGTTTTTACTGATCTGATCTGGATTTATTTTCTTTCCTCAGACTCTGTCCTCTATTGTGGCACTGCTGAAGTTGTGACCCGATTGGTCATCTCTGCTTTGATGGGCGTGGCTGCCATTGTTGTTCTGGTTTATGACATCAAATCCAGAACAGGAGAGAAGAGAACTGACATCAGTTTAAGACAACGATCAATCAGAAATTAAAAATGTTAATCTGTCTTTTCTTTTCTGAGTACTTTTATGTTTAGATGAAACTGTGTTGTGACAGACTTCTTCATCTGTATTCCTAATGATAATGATGCAAATTTGATGTCCATAAAGCTAAGAACGTAAAATATTGCAGTCTACATCCTGTCTATGCTCTAATTCCTAATAATAAGCCAACATTCTTTCTCCATGTGTTCAGAAGTTCAATGAATCAGAAGTGTAAACAGTGTAAAAATGTGTAAACACTTTGTGTTTAAATGTAGCTCATTAGAAGCTTGATAGCTTAAATGTAGTTCATTTGAAGATTCATTGTCAGAAGATTTGGGTCATCAGGCCCTCCTGGTTTACTAGGGTCAAGACTTATAGAATTTGGGTATTTACTTTAGATAACTATATAAAATAGACATGTTCACATTAGAAATAATAACTTTATAAAGGATGATATTCATTAAAATTTCCTGACTTGTTCATGTTCTGTTGAAAAAAGATGGATTCTCTGTACCAAAAAAAAAAAGCAAAATTCCAAAAGTCAATTAGAATATTAAAGCAATTTTATTGTGCATTTTTATTACATGCATTCAATTACATGCTTATTCATATAAACTGGCTGCAACAATTATTACATTTTCCCAACTGAACAAAGAATCCTACCTGTAGTCCACATTAGTCCACTAGAGGGCAGACATCAAGATGATATAAAGCTGCAGTAGTATATCAGTGTGTTTTCAAACATAGTTTGTTTCAGGGGTCTGAGAGTGGTTCGCATTGATTTTCATATTATTGTGAATGCTCCAAACAAACTTTTAAACAATCAGATCAACTCTACTGCAAAGAAACTCAGACAATGTTGACAGGTAGCCTCAATGTGCTTTCACTCGCATTTCATTTATAGCAGGCATGTCTGAATGTTTCACCTGAATTTCACATTTGGAAATGCCACTTATTTTTGGCCTTTACAGGTTAATGTATAAAAAGCAAAAGTGTAAGGAAAATATATCTTACAGAGTGTGTAGAACATCACATTACATCGGACCAGACAAATATGTTTAAGAACTGTTCCATTTAAATTCAGATTAAGAATACACGGATCATGTGCAATGCAAACTGTTCCATCAGCTGTAAAGTAAACTAAACCATTAAACTAAACAATTTCTTTCTTTCTTTTTTATACAATTACACAGCTCATCCTTGCACAGAGCTTATTCCAAACAGTTGATATTATTAAAGTGGTTATATACTTGTAAATATTAGGCTTCTCCTTATGTTTGTGTTCCATTCCCTTGACCTGCGGGGTCATCTGTAAGAAAACAGAAAGAATCACATATTCTAAATCTACACAAAGATGGAAGTTACCAAAACTTGTTAAAAAAGCTAAATGGGAAAACAGATCTGAACTTTTCACTAGTGATCAGATATTACTGAAAACATCACAAAAGCAGGATGTTTAGCTTGAAGGAATCTGAATATTGCAGCTTTGTAGTCTTCTGTACTAGAATATATTTTTTGTGGTCTACAGCACAGTTTCTGACTTTTATTGCAGCAGCAATGAACAATCAGAATCAGCACAACAGCAACACATATTCCTGCTATAAGACCTGGAGACAGTCCTGAATCTGTAACGACAACTACAGACAATCATTAGTGTGTGTGATCTTTCTGATCCACTTACAAATCCATGTAAAAAGAAGGGTTTTGACAAATAAAATTCATATCCTCTACAAATGCCTCTTTTGCAAATAATTTATTTGGTAATGTTTGATATGTCATTGTTTCAGTTATGTCAGATCTTTCTTCTTCGATTAAATGCTCACATACGTAAATAAAATATTCATAATTAAGAAACATAATCTACTCACCCTTGACCATAATGCTGATGGCCCTCTGTAAGGTGTATGTGCTGCTGCTCATGTTTAGAAGATAAACTCCAGAGTCTTTGGTTTATATTCTGATGCCAATCTGGTGCCATTTAGGTAACAGTTAAAGTATAGGTAAAAGAGCAAATAAGCCACTTCTAGTGTTAAGACATTAAACACCCTGCCAGTCTTTCTTTATACATCCATTTCAGAAATTTCCCATCCATTCACAATGGTAGCACTCCAGAAAGCATCTACTCTTGCTGTTCACTCTGACTTCATTTTATCAGTTCATTTGGCTTTATTATGTATTTGCACACAAATCAAACACTGCATAAAATGAACACAATTGTGTTTTGGGGAAATAGTCAGTTTTGCAGTTACTAATGGCACAGAAGTGATTTGCACCTATAAAACCAATAAGAACCATTTAAATCAACATTACAAAGACAGAAATGTATAAAATTTCAAATTACTCATGATATATTTTCCTTACTTGTTCATGTTTCATTGAAAGAAAACAATACATATTATTGAGTATCTAGATGGAATAATACATTCATAATCCATCAAAGGCTGAATTAATACTAGCTACATGTCTTGAATTTGACGCATTGTTTGTTCACTAAAGTGCAGAAATGATCAAACAGTGGAACTGATGTATATCTGTATACATTCAGCTCATATATAGGATTTCAGAATCACAACAAAAGGGTCAGATTTAATTCACAAAACAAAATGCAAATCAGTAAAAAAATATCTATAAATATATTAATATGCTATACAAAAATGGGACAAAGTACAAAATAGAAATGCAACAAGAACTTAAATTCCCCAATAAAAAGTCATAAAAAGCAAAGTTCTCACAACTGAGAGTGTAATTCAAAGATCTGTAAACTGTGTCTCAAATACAGATTAAGAATACAATGTGTAATGTAAACTAATACATCAACCAAACCTTGCTTATCTGTTTATAGCAAATACAGCTCATGTTCATTAATACAGCTATGTTTATATTGTTACTGTGGTTATGTATGTACTGTTATGGATGGATTCATGCTGATCCTGAGGTTGATTTCATTGACCTTCACTGAAACCTGTTACAAAAACAAATAAAAAAATACAGAAGGAGGCACAGCAATGAATATGATTATTCTGACAGCGTATACAGGCCATGCATGCATTCACTCACACACACACATACACACACACACACACACACACGCTGACAAGAATGAAATCACTCACAGGTACAGTAGCATAAAATCTGAACTGAACAGTATCTTACCACACTGAGCCTCCAGATTACACAACTCTGTCACCTGGAAGCAAACACAGATTTAAATCCATTGTAAATCCTGAACTCCATTTACGCAGACAGAAAGATATGTAATCGTTGGACACACAATGTCTTTTCATCTCTCAGCGGTTTTGCTTTTTTGGAGTCTGTACTGTCTTCATTTTTTTTCTTTTTAAAAAAAAATCTAAACCATGTTCAGTACTGTCTTTAATATTTCTATATTAATGGTGTTACTTTATAATAGTGCTTGTGTACAAACTTAATGAAGTCACGTCATTTACAAACATGTCTAAAATGCTGGCAAAATCAAAGACTTCAGTTTTTTTAACAGTAATCAGACTTTTTAAAAGCAGAAACTTTGCAGGTAATACTTACGCCTTTGTCTTGACCTGCACCAACAGTAAATCACAAGGGCAACGGCAACCACCAGTGCAAGACTGACAGCTATTACTGCTATAACAATTGAAGACAGACCTGAATTCAATGATGAAGACAGTCATTAGTGTGAGTAAATGTCTCTGATCTACAAAAAAACACACTATGAAAGAAATGCGATTAACTTGAACTTTTTTCTGTTCCTCACACAAAGCTATCATATGTATGCATGTTTTATTTTATAGGCTATAAGTAAATTTGTATTTGTATATCTTTTTCAACAGGTAATTAAAATAACAAAAGATTTGTTGATTTCATAATACATGAATTGTCCACAGAATACAGATGCAAATAAGATATTGATAATGAAAGACTGATCTACTAACCCTTGACAGTAACACTGTATGTCCTCTGTAAAAAGTGTGAGTTACTGTTCATGTTTAGTTGATAAACTCCAGAGTCTGTGGTTCTGGTGTCACTGATGATGAGAGACCCAGTCTGATGATGCAGCTGCAGTCTGCCGTTGAATCTTCCTCCAGCATTATCATATAATGAAAACTGAGTGGCTGTTCTATTGATTTTTGCCAAAAGATGGTCTTCAAACTTCCACAATATCAGATCATATCCTAGTATATCGGTAGTATTAGTATTAGTATTATTACTCTCAATCGTATTAGAAAAGGAATAAACCACCCCCTTCAATCC